GTAGTAGTAGTGTAGTGTGTGTGTGTGTGTGTGTGTGTGTGTGTGTGTGTAGAGAGAGAGAGAGAGAGAGAGAGAGAGAGAGACAAGAGAGAGACTCACTGTTCCAGAGACTTTGGATGTCTCACCAAGCATTGCATACAAAAGAGATGATTTTCCAGCACCAACAGGTCCACAAACTGCAACCTTCTTTCCCTTAATTACCTCTAAGTTAACGTCTCTCAATGTATGATCATGTGAATCAGGGTCCCAACTAAAATTTCCACCACGAATCCTAATGTTATACTCAGTTTCCTGAACAGGGTACCTCTTCACATTCTCAGGCCTGAGTTCGTCATCTAACAAGAATCGATCTAAACGATCCAAAGATATCTTAACCTGAATTAAGATAGAGAAAGCTTCAGGTAACACTTTCACTGGTTCAGACATGACCCTTAGAGTAACTAAAACTGTGAAAATAGTTGTAGCATTAAGAGGGGCAGTTCCCATTGCCAAACAACCTGCAAATACCACTGCAGAAACAAAAATGGGAGACATCCAGTAGAGTACACTTCCGTAGGACTTCTTAATTTGGGCAGAAGCCAACCATTTGAATTCATGATCTCTTAAAGAGAGAATCAAACTCCTGAACTTCTCTTCCCAAGCCTGCAACTTTATTATCTTCATGTTGTTTAAGATCTCAGAAGTGGCCCGAAGCCTCTCATCTTGGGCTCCCATGAATTGTGTCTGACAATTTTGGAGAATCTTAGCAATGGGTATGTTTAGTAGAGAGAGAATTATGATTGGAACTAGGCCAGGAAGAGCACCCCAACCTACAGTTAGAAAGAGAATCACTATAGAAAGGATCAATTGGAGGAGGGAGCACCAAGTGGTGTGGAACCACCATGGAAACTCCCCAAATCGATAGGCATCAACCGCTATATAATTCACAATTTCCCCCGTAGAATGCCTCCTCCTAGCCAAACTAGAGACCTTAAGTTGTTTTTGATAGACAGCAGCCATTAAAGCTGACCTCATCTTCATACCCACTCTTCTAGAATCGAAAAAGCAATGCCTTTGAGATAGAGACTCTGCAACTTTTGAAACACCTAAGCATCCTACTAAAAATAAACCCTGGTACTTGTTTTTATGGTATTCTTGGCCTGTAAATTCTACAAAGGAATAGAGTAAGAGGGGGGAAACTGCAATTGAGATTGTTCGAACCAATGCATAGATTCCCACCACCATCATTTCTCTAAAATAACATGCAATTAAGGTTTTGAGAACAGAGCTTTTGGAACTTGGGTTTTCTCTTCTGTGAGCTTCCCAAGCTTGAGAAAAGGCCTCATAAGCAAGGTGCACCTCCTCCTCGGATGGTAAAGGTGGGATATCTCTAAGAGTTAAGGGTTTTCTGTGGCCTAAGCGCAGTAAAGGGTTGATCCAAGAGAAGGTAAGGTGGCTAAAGAAGCCTATCCTGTTTCTTGTTCTTTCTCTTTCCATGTTTTTGTTCAACAGGGACTCAGATAGACTGCCATATAATGTCGTTTGAGAGATCAAAATTCTGAAAAGTTGCAGAGAACAGAGGAGAAGCAATAAGCTCACAGGCCATGAAACCAAGTCCAGTATACGAAGTGTATGGCCCCTCACGAGAATGATAACATTTATGGCTGATACAAGGAGAGAGAAAGAGACCCACCAGACCAGACTCAAAATTCTTACCCATTTGAGCCTCTGAATGTATAGGGAGATTGCTAAGACCATCCAAATCAATCCGCGAACGAGATGGATAATCCAATTTAAATTCATTGATGCATTTTTCTTCCATATTAGAGGCCAAAAGCCGGCACCAAAATGAAGAGCACTTGTTATAGCACATAGTACTGGAACAGCTATGAAAAGCCAAGATCTTGCTCTATCTGCACGGATTAAGCAATTGCGAAATCCGGAAACTGCAGAAACAAGAATGAAAAGAACGACGAAGAAGATATTGAGACCATCTATTACACCTCTCTCAATACATGTTGAGCCTGAGTCTAACTCCAAGTCACATATCCATGAGAGTTCCTCTGCAAATAAAAGAACAAAACAAGTTAAAAGAATTGATCAACTAACTAGCAAAAGAGAAAGTGATTGATCAGTATAACAAGTAATAGAAATAAAAACAGCGAGAAAGAGTGAGAGGCAGTAAAAAGGGTAGAAAACAATTTAACACCCAAAATTCACATGAAGATAGCAAGATTTGAGAACCCAAGATAAATTACATAAAAATAAGAGCAAAAGAAATCCGGAATGAAAAACCAAAAACCGACTATGTGCATCAGTGAAAAATTCAAGAAGCTCTCACAAAGAAATATAAAGACCAAGAACCAAGACATGGATAATATATGTATAAGAACTGAATAAAATGCATGTTCACTCTGTGTGTGTGAGAGAGAGAGAGAGATATGCAAGGAAGAGCTTTCAAAAAGAAACATGAAGACCAAGAACCAAGACATGGATAACAGGAAGATATAAGTTGTGAATGAATATGCTGAGAGAGATAGAAAGAGTGAATATGCTGTGAGAGAGAGAGAGAAGCTTGCAGACCCCCCCAGAGGGCCATCATCTTCTTGGGTAGTCTGAAGATGGTCTTGTGGTGGAAGTGCAAATAGTATAAGTAGGCAGTGTCAGCAAAATTTCGGCTTCGTTTATGCATATAAAATCACGAGTTTGTTTGTTGTATAATTAAAGTTAAGAGACCAAAACTGATTGAATAACATGAAACATGACATCAATGGAATTGTATCTATTCGGTAATATATATTGTACTCTACCATCAAACTTTTACAGGTGTCTTTTGCCTCCATCTATTTGTACATATAGGAAAAGTGCCAGTGCCTACATCATGGGCAGTGAAGGTGGTGGGAAGCCACCATTAAGTGCATGAAAATGAGAACGAATTTGTCTTTAAGAATTTTGCCTTCTTATTATATGTGAAGAGACTCTTGTACGCGTTCCATGATAATATGTATATACTTTCCTTTCACACTTCACTTCAAACTCAAGATGCATTTGAACCATACTTATCGGGAGCTCCCGCTTGGGAATCTCGCTCCGGTGTTCTCGAGCCGGGATCTCACTCGGAATCTGTTTCAATTTTTTTAGAATCTCGCTTCAATTTTTAGGATTCTCGATCCTATTAACAACGGAGCTCGCTCCCTCTACTTCAGGGATCTCGCTCCCATTTACTACGGATCTTGCTCCTATGATAGCACGGATCTCGATCCCATACACAAAAAATTTTGCTCCCTTTACTTCACGGATCTAGCTCCCATAGGCTTACAGAACGCGTTCGGTAACATTGTAGATGTGGTTCCTAAACAAATTAGATCCTTGCTCCCAGAATTTTAAGATTGCGATCCCGACGTTCTCGATAGAGCCTAACCTAACAAGGATGTGATCCCGATCCTATAATCTATGGAGGTCGCTCACGAGGAAAGTGGATCCCGATCCCGAAAGTATAAGGTTCTCGATTTACGAAATCCCGGATTGCGATCCCTTGGAACTCAGACGTTAACTCTGTCTATTTATTTGTTCATTGTAGTAGGTGATTTATATCTGCAATGGGCATTTAATTGTGCCTATAGTAATTCCAAAAAAAGAAAGGCTTAATTTTGTATAGGGTGTGGTTTCTATAAGGTTACAAATTACAATCTTAAACAATCCAATTAAGGTGCACCTCTAAATTTTATCATAATATAGAACTTTGGTGAATTTTTTTTTTAAGATTATCTAAAATCTATTTTCATTTTCAATGATAAAATTTTAAACTCCAAAAATGGTGAAAATCAAATAGATCCCTAAGCCTATGTAAATCTTGAAAATGGACGGTCTAGATAATGTGTTGCAAGATTCAAAATTTTCCGTACAATTGACGGTGTTATTTCTACGTAGTTGTTCATTATAATCGGTGATTCATACCTGCAATGGGCCTTTAATTGTGCCTATAGTAATTCTAAAACAAAAAAGCTTAATTTTGTATAGGGTGTGGTTTCTGTATGGTTACAATTAACAACCTTAACAATCCAATTAAGGTGCACCTCTAAAATTTACCATAATATTGGTGTAATTTTTTTTTAAGATTATCTAAAATCTATTTTAATTTTCAATTATAAAATTTTAAACTCCAAAAACAGTTAAAATCAAGTAGATCCCTAAGCCTGTGTAAATCTTGAAAATGGACGGTCTAGATAATGTGTTGCAAGATTCAAATTTTTTCGTACAATTGAGGGTGTTGCTAGATTCATCAAATACTTCCCTAAAGATTAATAGTCTAGCAATAGACTTTTCTATCAAAAAAAATTTATGGCACATAAGCTAGTGCACTGCACAAACAAAAATTAGAGGTTTTCCAAAGATATAAAGACTCAAATATAGATAGTGAAAAAGACAACGCCCAGAAAGACTCAATCTATCTAAGTTTTATCTTCTTCAGTCTCTATAACTAGGTACAAGTTTGGATTTACCCAAAATTGCAAAATTCTTGATTGCCAAGATAAAAAAATAGAAAGTAAGAACCGTTTGGAAGGATAGCCTCATAAAGTTTTTTAGTTCATTAAAAAAAGGGATGAGGTCCATATAAGGTGTCAACCTTATACTATAGATGTAAGGTGTGCCTCAAAAGAGAAAGATTCTCTATATGGGTTAACTGGGTGATAATTGCCAACCCATTTTTTCGAGATGTGGATGTGGATCCTACGGCCATGAGGTGGGGTCGCATACACTTGGGTAGGAGAGGGTCTCATAGGATCATTACTAGTTAAAAACAGTGCGCAAAAAAAAGAAAGAAAACAAATACAAAAGCATAAGCAACTCACTGTGTCAACAAAATGAATTAGAATCAATCACTAAATCACCTCAACAAATATAATTTCCAAGGCATAAAGAAAGAGAGAGAGAGAGAGAGAGAGAGAGATTGAACCCAGAAATCAAGATTCAGAAGAATTGAAAAGGTGAAAAATATCATAAGACCATTTGTTTTTTATACAAGGTGATCATATTCACTATCGGCCACTAGATCTCAAATCATG